ACTTCTAAAAATATCTTGGTAGGCAATTTTAACATAAATGTAGGTAACTCTTAAGCTCCTCTTCTTAATCAAGTTAGTTCTCTCTTTTTCCCTGAGTCAAATTGTCACACAACCTACTCACTATTCTCACTCAGGATCCCCTTCAATCATTGATCTTGTCTTTGTCCCTCGCTCAGCTCATGTTTCTGCCACTGTTTCTTCCCCTCTTGGTTCTTCTGATCACTGCACAATCATCTCCTCACTCTCTTTTTCATTCAAACCTGCTCCCTCTCACCGTCAATTCCACAGAAAAGTCTGGCTCTATCACAAGGCAGACTTCAATGCTATCAATGACTCTCTTAATGCCATAGACTGGTCATCCACACTTCCCCAAGACCTTGACACTGCCTGCTTGAAGTTCACCTCCATCTTTCTTCAGATTATAAATGAGTATGTTCCATCTTAGTTTGTCTCTGATCAACCTCTCCCTCCCTGGCTCTCCCGACTTCTTGTCCATAAAATAAGGCACCGCCATAAACTGTTACATTGAGCTGCTGTCTCCAATTATCCTTCACACTGGTTTGATTATCGTTCTCTACGCAATTCTATTTCTGCTGAGGTTAGGCGATCTAAATCACAATTTTTCAATTCCATCTCCCACTCACCTCCGAAATTTTGGTCTTATGTACACTCTCTCTGATGAAACAAGGACTCAGTCCCTCCTCTTACATCTCCCTCTGGTTCACTTATCTCTGATGCCCCTGGTAAAGCCAATCTTCTCAACCAGGCTTTTTCAACATTTTTCACTGTTGACCCTGGTCCCCCAATTGTTGCCCCTCTAGATCCCTCCTTGGTCTGTAAAATGATCTTCTGTGTACTGCTGCATCTGTCTCACGTCTCATCACCTCTCTCACTACTTGTACATCTCCTGGTCCTGACGGAATTCCATCTCTCCTGCTCAAATCCACTGCCTGCTCTATTTCTAAACCCCTTAAACTTATCTTCAATCTCTCTATTTCCACTGGTTCCTTTCCCTCTCCTTGGAAGAACTCCTGTGGCATCCCTATACCTAAAACTTCACCTCCCTCCTCATTTCCATCGGACTTTCGCCCAATTTCTCTCCTCAATCTAATCCCCAAACTTCTCGAAAGGCACATATCGGACATTCTACTGGATTATCCTCAAAAAACCTCTTTGAAACTCAATTTGGATTTCTCCCCAGTCGTTCTACCTTATCTGCTCTCTCTGCTGCTACTCACATGTATTTTCTACTCTTGACTCCGGATCTTCACTCTGTGGTGTTTTTCTCGATGTCAAAAAGGCCTTTGATTCTATCAGCCACAGTATTCTTCTATCCAAACTCCAGTCCCACAGCATTCCTCATCATATTCTACACTGGCTTCTCTCCTATCTCTCTGACCGGTCTCAGTGTGTCTGTGATTCTACCTCCCCTCCAGTCTCCTGTGTCCTCAGGTGTCCCACAAGGCTCCATTTTAGGTCCATTATTATTTGTTCTTTTGTTAATGATCTTGATCTTCTCCCACTCTCATCTAACTCTAAAATTTACTTGTACGCAGATGATCTCCTACTTCACACTCTTTCTCCTTAATATGATCATGCACCTCTTCAATCTGACATAGACATCATCACCTCCTGGTTCTCCTCCAACCGTCTCTCCGTAAATCCTTCAAAATCTAAGTATATGTTTTTCTCCCTAACGTCTCAGTCTTCATTTGATTCTCTCCCCCCCTGCTCTTGTCTTGTACTTCATTTGAAAGAGTTTATTCTTTTAAGTTTCTGGGCCTAATTCTCTCCTGCAATCTGTCATGGTCTAGACACATAACCACCATAATCAAAAGAGTTAAACGTCTAATAGGCTTAACCTACCGACAGATCTATTCCCTCTCCTCTTCAAAAACCCTTTTGTTCTTCTACACCACAATAGTGCGTCCTGTACTTGAGTATGGTTCTTCGATCTGGGATCCTGCCTCAACCTCTCTTTCCTCATCATTAGAATCAGTACAGCACTTTGCTCTGAAAATGATCCTAAAATCTTGGTCCACCCCTACATTGATCTTCTCTCCTATCTCAACTTAAAAACCTTGGCACACTGTCGACAAAGAGCTAAGATCATGATGTTTTTTAAAAAATAACGGTCTCATTCACTCTACCCTTCATTTGACTGAAAACCCTCCCACTCCTCCAATGTCTCCGTCATTATTGTCCTCAAAACTATGCCATCCCATTTTGCCGTACATCCTCCTATCTACATTCGTTCCTTCTCTCAACTATAAAACTCTGGAACTCCCTCCCAACTAAAGTAAAACAATCAACCTCAATTCCTTACATAAAATTTTATTTGGACTGTGAATTTTAATTCTGATTTATTAATTTATTCGATTAGTCTCATTATCTTTATATTATTTAATTCTGTTCAATTTCCTATTCTTCTTTTTATTAGCTTTGGCTTTTTCACATAAAAAAAATTGCCTTCATTTTGTTACGTAAAAAGGGTGTGGCCAAAATCGCAGCGCGCTTTGCGCGCCATTTTGTCTTCTTGCCTTACTGTGACTCAAAGTCCAGCTACGTCCCTGTTCAGAACCAGGAATCCTTTTCAGTAAGCCTCTTATCAATTTTAAAAAGGCCCTGGAGATTATACGAAAACACATCAAGAAAGACCATCACCAAGCTTCTGTCGTGAAATCAGATAAGTTCATGAAAGTGATGAGTAATCAACAACCAGCCATAACATCAATTCTTAATCGTGCTGTTGCTGATCAAGTAGGTGTTAATTGCCAGAAGTTAATGTCCATCTTT